TAACGTGTCAAAACAGACGCCATTGTTTCATGTTGACATGTGTATGCCGACGCAACGCCACACAAATTATTCTCAACCATCGATTTTGTCAATGTTTATCACGTCTGTAAACCATACTATTTCAAGGACGTAGACATGATGCTTGTTGTAACTCTAAATCATATGCTGTGTGGGTTTGGAGAAATAAAAGGCTTGGCAAATTCACCTGAAATTCAACAGTATAATCAGTGTGTTCCCTCGAAAACTTTAAAAACAAGAAACAAAATCTTTGCAAATGTCTTATGGTGTGGAAGTTGGCGCCAGTTTTTTCCTATTTGATCACGTTCAAAGATACCTGCCCCATCAAAGACCAGCACACACAAAAGAAGCTCCCATTAGTTCGTGTTTGCACCCAATTATTTAAGGATTTGCAGAAAAGGGGATGAGAATACTCCAGGTTTTTATTAAGCAGTGGCATAAAGAAAATGTAGTGAATAAAAAGGCAAATATGTAAAGTCCGGCCAGCGAGATATCATTATGCTGCAAAATTGTTTTCCAAGGATTAGAACTAATGCAGTGGATTTTTCAAAAGTCAGCGACAGATATTTTGTTTGTTTGAATCCTATTAAAGATCAAGCCACAAACGCAGACTCGATTATTCTTAAGTTCACTTTTTAAGCAGCTGCAAAGTTGTTGAATTGGTTTCCATAATATAATTGGGTACTGAATCAATTTACATAATGCCCAATTTTAATTCCTGGTGGTTTTGAATTTAGAAGTAGTTTTAATGAATGTATTTGTTAAAGATGATGTCTGGTACTTAAATTGCATATTTCCTTTTCAAAAGAAAACATATCTTTGACCTTTTAACATTCATTAGCACGGTTACACTTTTTTAATGCTTTTTAACTGTTTTATTGTTTGAACTCATACATGTTTAAATGCATTATTCTGTATGTGATTTTATTGTAGAACACTTTGGTCGCCTTGAGTGTTGTAAAGGGCTCTATAAATAAAATGGATTGATTGATTTGACCCTGTAGTATCCTCTTTTTAAAGTAATTTTAATAATAAATATAGTTAGAACAGTCAGTCCCTTTAGTATTAGCATCACCGGTAAGATTTTCTCGAGGAGAATAGTTCGACCTATGGCAAAGGGCCTGAGCTAGGGATTTGAATTAATTGTGTCCAATCAGGATCCTAAGGGGCGGGACTAACTGGCGCTTGCATTAAATAAAAACGTCCCTCTATCCTTCACTTGAATCAAAATTCAATTTGTTAAACAACTTTTAACATTCACATTCCTGACAATCACGCCTGTGTGTTTGAACAGTTTCTCATTGCTGTACCGTCCTGGTTTTCTACAGACGCAGAGATGAAAAGGGCCTTTACACCACGCCACTTCATCCGTCAGTGTTGTTGCACGAGGTTACGCAGCCTGCAGTGTGTGATTGTAAACTAGTCTTTGATAATAAAATTGGTGCCTGTGCAACCCGCTCCACAAGCACTTTCCCCCCGCTATACCGTCAGTTAGCATGGCCCCCGTCTGCACCCTCAAAATGGCTGGAAAACCACATTCCCCATCACAATATATTTATGTAGATGTATATATATAAAAAATGTGGATGCTTCTATACGTTTCCTTTGCTGACCTGAAAATGACAGCCCATGCTTGGTTACTTACTAAAGCTCCTCTCCTTATACCATCTGTTCTACCGTCCCCACAGACGCTCACATTGCTAACGCAGTCACAAGTGAGACCATTAAAATAGCCACAATAGAAGTGAGGGAAGATTATGCCGACGCCCATCCTCTCACCTCATTAAACATAGTTCCTGTAGATTATCTGTGGCCATACTTGATGATTCTATAATGAAACTGTCAAAAAGACACACTGCACTTGGCTTTCGTTTTCTTTCAAACTCACTGCTTGGTTTCTGCTAAAGGGCACGGACGTATTTTAGATTTTAAAAACTTGTTGTAATGGTAAAATAATAACCAATTTCATAAAAATTGAGGTTCTGAATATCAATCAATCAACGTTTATTTATAGAGCGCCTTTCCTACACAAGGCAACGCAAAGCGCCTCACAACCCATATAACATCATGCATAAATCATCAAACATTAGAATTTAAGTAAACATAAAAAGACAGATTAAGAGCACAAGATATATAAAATTACACAAGTAGTTAAAAACCGTAAAAAATTAAAATCACACAAGGGATTACAATCATAAATAATCATAAATAATCATAGCGCATTAAAAAGATTAAAGATAAAAACAAATGTAAAATCATTCACTTGTATGCACAGCTAAAAAGAACTGTTTTCAGTTCAGTTTTAAAAACTGCTAGAGTAGACGCCTGTCTCACACTCTCGGGAAGACGGTTCCAGACTCTAGCTGCATGAATCTGAAACGCAGCCTCCCCATGTCTAGTTCCGACTCTTGGCACTAACAGAAGTCCAGTCCCTGTGCTCCTCAGAGCCCGAGTTGGTTCATATGGCACCAACATGTCGCGGATGTACCCTGGTGCGAGGCCATGGAGAGACTTGTACACAAGTAAAGCTACTTTAAAATCTATTCTCTGAGCCACAGGAAGCCAGTGCAGAGACCTGAGGACCGGACTAATGTGGTCGTACTTCCTGGTTCTAGTCAGGACTCGAGCTGCAGCATTTTGGATGTACTGCAGCTGTTTTACCGCTTGTTTAGAGAGACCTGTGAACAAGCCATTGCAGTAGTCCAATCGACTGGAGACAAATGCGTGGATAAGAATCTCCAAGTCTGCTTTAGACACAATGTTTTTAATTTTAGCAATGTTTCTTAGGTGGAAGTAAGCTGATGATGTCACAGATGATATGTGGCTATTGAAATTCAAGTCTGAGTCCATTATTACTCCTAGATTTCTGACCTGAGTTGAGGGTTTCAGGGAGAGAGACTGGAGGTGGCAGATAACGCTCTCTCTTTGTTTCTGAGGTCCGAAAACAATAATTTCAGTTTTTTCTGTGTTTAGCTGGAGAAAGTTATTTTGCATCCAATCACTGATCTGTTGGATACAGTGAAGGAGCGAGTCCACTGGTCCATGTTCTCCTGCTGTCAGGGACACATAGACCTGAGTATCGTCAGCGTAATTGTGATAGGACACGTTATTACTGTGTATTAACCTACCCAGAGGCAGCATGTAAATATTAAACAGGAGAGGCCCCAGGATTGAGCCCTGTGGCACTCCGCAGGTCAGGGCCAGATGGTCTGAGACACAGTTTCCGATCTCCACAAAATACTTTCTGTCCTGTAGGTAGGATATAAACCAGCTTAGGGCTGTTCCAGAAACACCAACCCAGTCCTCAAGTCTCTGAATGAGGATACCATGATCGACAGTGTCGAAAGCAGCACTCAAATCTAACAGGATAAGAACTGAGACTTTTCCTGCGTCAGTGTTAAGTCTGATGTCATTTGTTACCTTCACTAGAGCGGTCTCTGTGCTGTGGTGGGGTCTAAAACCAGACTGGAACATATCAAAAGAGTGATTGATTATTAAAAATTCTGTAAGTTGGTGATAGACAACTTTTTCTAGAATTTTACCCATGAAAGGCAGATTTGAAATGGGCCGATAACTTTTAAGTGCCAAGGCATCCAGACTCCTCTTTTTTAGGAGGGGTCTGATGACTGCCGTTTTCAGGGCCATTGGGAATATGAGATACAACCTCATCACTCAAACCAATTTTCTGTACGGAAATGGCTGATGGCTCAATTATAGAAACAGGTTTTGTTATGCGACGTGTTGGAGACAAAATGTTTTTATCTTTACAGAATTGTTTTACAAATAGGCAGGTGGAGGACAGATTTGGACAATAGCAGCAGATATTGTTTTCAAAAGTGTAACTGATGTTGATGAAAAAGTGCAGCTCATTATCACTTGTTTTCAAATGGTTTTCTTTGTCAGACTGAATTCAATTATTTTATCCAGCTGGAATATCAAAACTGAGTGAATGTGGTTTTTTGATTTTTACTAACAACAATTATCACTGAAAATGAACCCTATGTAGAATCAGAAATCAGTGGTGCCCACAAATTTGGTTTAGAGAATCAAAAATCATTATGTGTAAGAACATCTGACCCTGTATGTTTTGCTATGCGGATGAATAGAAATATACACAATAAAATAAGTCCTACAAATATTTGCTCTTTGATCTTTCATCTACAACTCATATTTTTCACATTCCATATAAACTGTCAAAATGTGCACGACTCAGAACCAAGATAAAATTCAATTGTTTATTCATTTATTTATAATTTCTACTAGAACAATCGTTGTGCTAAAGGTTAGAACAGATTTTTCCGAAATGTGGTAATTGTGTGTAATCGCATCACCCACCTTTAAAATATTTTTCTTCCTTCTACTCCTTTTTGAGTTTGAAGAATGTAAAATATTAGTTTTACATTATTATATTTGATGTACTTTAAATAAACCCAACACAACTCAAAGCAACTCAGCTTCAGATGTAATTTTTTTTTTTTTAAATTGGAGCTCTCTTGAAGATCTCATATTTACTCTGAACAAACCGACCGGACATTGAAATTCGCATTGTAATCACAGTGTTGGTCAGAAATATCACAATTAGGCATTTTGACTTTATTTAGTTATTATATACAATAGTTATTGTCAGAACTAAGCATATGGAGGCTACATTTTAGATTCATGGAGCAAAAATCTGGAACAATCTTCCTGAAAGTGTGAGACCTCTTCTCTGACCATGTTTAAATCCAGGTTAAAGACAGGATTTTATATATTTTTTATATTTGTGTCTTTCTTTTTAATTCTGTGATTATTTATGATTTTTCTGCTATCTTGTTTTGTTCAGCACTTTGAATTGCCTTGTGCATGAATTGTGTTATACTAATAAACTTGCCTTGCCATAAACTGTATTGCCTGCATGTTCCAGCAAAAACCAGGCAAAACGTTTTCTTCAATAATAAAGTTTTGTCGCTAACAACTTCTTCTCTCTGTCTGTGCCCCTGCAGGCGTAGAGAGAAGAACTCCGGAGCCTGGCAGGGACGTCTTTACACATGCACCCACAGACGAGCGAGAAGGAGAGGTGCGCCCCGTCTCCACAGCTCCTCCTGAACACGCCCAGAGGGGGCTGCTTCTGCCTGGACACATCCTCACCAGGGAATTCCAGGGGGACCAGCATTACTTCAGGAGAGACAGCTCTGTGGCGGCCTATCCCACGATGCCGAGTGTTTTACATGCAGGGGAGACGCACGGCTCCGCTACCCAACTAGTACCCCACGAAGAGGCCCCGCCCTTTTCGGACTTTGCCACAAAATCCACAACTCCCGCCACCACGCCCGTTACTGCTTTCACCACCCCAACCTTCAGGCTGCCTTTATCTCAAAATAAGCCCACGGCGGACAGGACGAGGGATGTATTTCCGACGACAGACTCGCTAACAACACAAATGACTCAAGGCAGTGATAACAATAAAAACAATCCACAAAGAGAGGGTCCAGCAGCCAGCCCCCCATCACTCTCAACAAGCACGGAAAAAGCAGAAGAGAGAGAGAATACAAATAAAAGCAGCACTGATAATTTCCCTTCTGCATCCAGCTTTGGAAGTGGCCTTGTGAAGTCCACGGCTACCACTATCACCACCATGCAAACATCTGGTAAGCACAAGGCTTTTCATCTCCTTTTCAAAGATACTGCAGTCCAATTTTATTTCACTGACGTGTTTGAACCGGGAGTTGGATAGAGTGTGTATTATTTGGATAAAAGCAAGCTTGTGTGATTCATGCTTCTAAATGATTGCTGTACAAATATTAATGTGTCGTTTTTTTGTTTAATTGTGTATCTAAAGGTGCTGTTTGAATATGATAAGAGACTAAATCAAAAAAACAATCAAAGGCATCCCTAAATATTACATAAAGCACAGTACACTTCAACATCAGACATAGATGGACCAAATATCTGAGGTTTCTATATTTACATCCTAAACTCGCCTAGCCCCATGAATAATAGCAGTGTCTGGTGCTATAAATATGTCAAAAATTGTGCTTCCAGACTTTTTATTTCAGCACCTGATATATTTCACCAAAACCTAGCAAGTCTAAAACTTGCAAGCTCCCATCCCCAGGAGGCTCTAACATGAAAAAAGCAGGTCACAGTTGGCCTTGTGTGCATTTCGACTGGCTTTCACCAACTATTCATGCCTCCACTCGGGATAACAGAGTTGCCCATGTGTCAAAAACAATCACATTTTCCCTGATGCGTCCCGAGCGCCCTCTCCGCCAGGCCGCAGAGAGCTGTAGGCCCCAGACGAGCCGCGTCAGAGAGGGAATGTGCAGAGATAGTTAGGGGGTTAGACGTCCACAGAGACACAGGTGGGCTGTCAGAAAGATCACTGGTCCGGGAAAAGGGGAATAACTCATATCTTTACTGTCTCCTGCAGAATCATGCAGTATGAATTTCACTGACCCCGAGGGTAATATCGACATCAGGCAGACGCTGGACCCTGGAGTGGAGTGCAACTACTTTGTGACTGTCTACTTGGGATATGGCATTGAGGTTCAGGTGAGACCAAGTTCCTAATTTAAATTCTTAAGGCATTTGAAAAGTCTTCTCATGTCTCTTGTCTCATTACACCACATTTCACCATAAGATCGCACCACAAAAGTAGAATTGAAGGGGGTTTATTGATAAAGCAGAGGTATGCGTTTTATGTCTCAAGTAGGCTACACCCTAAAACTTTGCCTCACATTAAAAGTGCCCTTTAACTCAGGCAAGAGGCAAATACATTTTGATTATGAATACAAATGACCATGTTTTAAACAAACTACTGCCGTGCCTTTATAACTCCTTGGTATAGATTGCCAGAGGGTGTGGGAATGCAAAAGCGCTTTTTAATATGATCTTAAGTTTTAAGTTAAGCTTTCACTGTTGATGATGAAGTAATTACTTATACTCTCAAAAACAACAACATGTTGCTGTTGAATAGTTATTTTATTTAATAATCTTTGCCATGGTTACCAAGGCAACATTACAGTAATGTTCCTTCAGAATGGCCATTAGAATGTTTTGGCTGCAGAAAGGCTGCTTTACTCTGAAATGAAACCACCAAAATTAAGTGATGTAATCTTTTTGAAAACTTTCCAAACAAAAGCTCAATAAAATTGGAAAATCTGAGAGATATGCGGACAGACACACACATACAGATATTCCTTGCATGAATAGATAGATTTATGACCAATTTGTTTGAAAACTTGTTAATGGATGTCATATTTACCACAAAGAACATATTTATATTCAATGTGCCTTATAGCCACTACCCCATGGTCGGTACGTGTACTTCTGTTGGAAAATACTGCTATAAATAATTTAAAGGTTTTGTTTGTTGTCCACATGAAACACCAGCAGCCACTCGAACTGTTCTAAAAGCACTTGCAAACAACATTTGAGACTAATAATAAAATGGGAGACAATCTTAATTTTTACACACAGAAATCCCACTTTAGGTGTGTGGACAGGAGACATGTTCAAAGCCGACTTCTTCCCCATCATGTCCTTTCTCAAAAAGGTTATAAAACGTAACTGTCTGGTTTGGTGTGTGCTGGTATGTGTGTTCCACAGTCTTTGCAATTCCTCAAACGCCTCATTTAGCATTGGAGACTTCAAAATGTGCAAGCTTTGTCTTGCTGCCTCTGGAGGGCTAAGATAAGTCTTGACAGAGTATATATTTGAGAGTGTATTTTTCTCTGGGTGCTCTCTTTGAGAAACTTAAGACTATCTCGACCACTTTTACCCACAGGCCCCTGAGAAGCTCTCCCTTCTCACAGTGGTGGGATATTATACAGAAAAAGAAATAAAGACAACATCATATTTGACCTTTCATAAATCAGTGCTGATGAATTCAGAATGATGTTGAAAGGGCAGATGGATTCATGCACATGACAGAAGAGGCTGTTTCTGCCCAACACTAACGTGTCAGCAGATTACAGTGAATCAGAGCTTCTCATCAGTGTTTGAAGCAGCGATTCATTCAAGTTTTCACGTTGAGGAGTTGATGAAAGGTGTGAGATCTCACCCAGATATAAAACAGGTCATTATGCAACAACGGCAATTTTCAGCTTTTGATGTCCCCATGGTTGTTACAGAGTTTCAGGAGATTCGCCGTATCAGGCAGAACTCCTAACATGACGTCATATTGTTTTCTATACTGAAAACACAGACCACAACCTACTTAGCCTTAGATAAACCATCAAAAAGTAACACCACAACTTAAATGGGTGAAGGAGTTAATAGTCTATTCTAACAAGCGTCTGCTTCGTCCAACTTTTTCCAAAGGGTGTTTTTCTGTTTATCTTGTATCCTGTTTGCCTTTTTTTAATTTATGTTTAAATTAGATATGACTCTGATTCAATGAAACATGCACAATGCAACTCCTTGAAGGTACTTAAAACCTCTACAGAACGAAATGACAGAATGACAGTTATGAAAGAAGTATCGTATTAAAGGGACCATTAGTAATATGCGCAATTTGTGGCCTGTTAAAGTCATTACAATTACAATCCAGCGTTTGTTGCCAGAATTATCAAACCTGTGACACAAGTGGCTCCTTATTACTAATATTTTGTATCTGCTTTAATTTAAATATGTGTAGTGCTATTTCTTTGTCAGTGAATTTAGTAAAAAAAAGCTAAACAAACTGGCAACCCAAATGAGATGCTAATTCTGCTCTCTGATTAAATATAATGCTTGAAAATAAACATATATTATATCATAAATATTGTGAACATTATGTCCATTGCATTTTTACTCCACTTTAATTTTGTTCAGAAAAGGTCAGCCTGATTTGTACATGTTGACCTATTATCTGTGGACACGCATACAAGACCTAGGTGTAATTTACAATGAAAATAATAACACATAATATGGTCCCTTTATTACAACCCATGTGATTGTGATAATCCTTTAAAAACAGACGCGCAAATGAAACATAGTGTAATGAACTTATGAAAAGATGTCGAGAAATATCCAGCTATAAGCATGAAGCCCTAACATATCTTTATAAACCAAAAAGCCCTGACATTCACTGTGATATTCTGCCTGTGCCAAGTATTAACCCAGAGAAAAGGCTTGTTCTCCACACTCGAGGAGCTGTGGGAGGGACGTGACGCTTGAAGAACATGCACTTGTTTTGGCAGCCGGCCTCTATAATAGAACGAAGTCATCATTACAGTCGACAGGCCGGCCGTTTGAGAGTGAAGGAGAGGAGAAATTAGGCAAAGGAAAGCTCTCAAGGGCAGACATGCTGACTAATAATATGCACTTGTGTGATATAAAACATAATGCTAGATATTTCCTGTCACTGCTTCTAGTGAATTATCAACCTTTAAAAATATATCAACCGGCGCCAAGTGATAAATGAGTTGGACCTTTTGGGGGCTTTCGTCAGTATGCCTTTTCGTGCTCTACAGCAGCTGGAGGCATTAATGTAAAATATGTATTGTGTGAATTTACTGCCGCTAACCAACATTTAATGCAGTGCTCCATCTGTTGATGCTGGATGCTTTGCTACTCATTGGTGAAATGACTCTAGATATTTATATTCAGGCAGAAAGAGTCATAGAAACACAGTAAACATGCACGATGACACTAGTCTAAATATATCATGTTGAAGCATTAGATAGAAATCTCAATACAATGGATGCATGTAAATGATACAATCCATCTAAAGCAGTGTTCCCCAACCTTTGTCAATGCAAAATATCACATGCCACACCACTAACTGAATTAGATACAACATTGAAACTATATACAGCCTTTTTTAACAAAGCAAAGTCATTCTCATTAATTCGTATTATATAGCAAATCAAACAAGCACAAAACAATCTTTCTAATCATTTACCATTATTTTCTTTTCACATGATTTTGACCAAGCAGGTGATATTGGAACATTTCCAAGGCACACTTATGGACATCTCAAGGCACACCGTTGAAAAAAACTGATCTATCCATCCATCCATCCATTTTCTTCCCTTTAATCCATTTCTGGGTCAGGGGGGTGGCAGTCAGAGATGCCACCCAAGTCTCATAGCACCAGCCCCTCACTGACCCTCTGCAGGTGGTGAGTCCACAGGAGGACGGCTGCTCTAAGTGTGAGCATAGCCTTGATCTTTCAGTGGGGGCTTTGGGCAAAGTGGGGTTAAGTGTCTTGCCCAAGGACACAACGACAGCAGTCATCAGTGGGAGTCGGTTGAGAAGGTGTAGAGGTGGGAATTGAACCCACAACCTTCTGGCCTGAAGGCCAATGCTCTACCAACTGAGCTACTGTCGCCTCAAAAAACAACTCAAAAAAACTGATCTAACGAGCGGTTAATAGTGGTAAACAGAGGATCAATCTTGCTCGTCCAATCAGCTCAGTCCAAAAGTATAGCATAGCAAGTTGAAGATTTCATTTGGTCATGACATTTTACTATTTACACTTTTCAGTTGGAGTAACCACAATTACTAAATAAACTAAGTGTGTGGAGTTTACTAATTACCCAGATTATACATAATCTTGATCAAAAGAGTGGAAAAAAACAATTTGAGACCAAGGTAGATGTCTCTTTTCTCCCAAAGTAAATACAAATACACCTCCTCCAAACAAAGTACCCGTGGAAGTTGTATTTTGTCTGTTTACAGATTGCTGAAAGCATCTTAAAACCTTAACACCAGACTTCGTACTGTCAGTGCTAGGGTCTAATTTCTTCCTCTATATCTTCCCCCTCCCTCCTCTGTCGATTTGAAATAAGGTTTTAGTAGAGGACAGATGGAGGTTTTCTAGAACTGGGCTGTGGCATTAAAGCGCTTACAATCTGTTTTGGAGTTTTTTTATTTATTTGATCAAATAAATCCGATGGGTTAGGAAGCTATCAGCTCTTCCCAGGCCATCTGTCCCGCTCTGATTTGTCTGCCGCCTCTCCTTCCTGATACCTGCTCGGGTGACTTTAGGGCCTGACCTCTTCACTTCACCATTCTACGCCGCTTCCTCTCTCTCAGGTCATTTTCTATATATTTCCTCAAAAAGAATGTATTACCTCTTGGATTCATTTCATGGAAAAAGTGTCCAGATGTGGACCATTCCAATTCCTTTTGGCTTGGCCTTCTCTAGATTTAAATGACTTTCCTGCAAGCTATTAGGAAGATTCAGGGCGGCGCAGAAAGAACTCTTTCTTCCCTGTCTAATTTGATTCTTGGGAACGGTCAGACACACGCTGGTGGTCGCTCAGTCCAAGCAAAAACAATCATTTCAAAAATAAAACACAAACAGCTGCAGTTAAAGTCCCTGGAAAATATAATAAAATAATAACATCTAAAGTACATAATTTTAATACTCATGTTTATAGTTTGTTTATAGTTTTTTGTAAGCACAAAATGAAAAAACGAAAAAAAAAAAAAAAACAGTGGTCGTAACAACACTGATAGTAAAACAAATATATTCACCGCTACTTGAAAAGGAGTGGGATGAGGTTGAATACTGATCGATTCCCACCCGCACTTTCAAAATGTTAAGATTATTACTTCCTTTG